ATAATCATGTATATTAGAGCAAATGTCTTCACTGTAACGTAGTGATGTTAGTCGTGAAATATAGATGTGCCGAAGTGTATGTGCCCTGTTACTGGAATGGTATGAAGCTTTGTGTTCTGTACATGCTGTAAATAAACTTTTTCTAAACAAGGAGCTTGCGTTCCTTGCGTTCCTCTCCGAGGAGCTTTTCTTCCTCGGGGAGCAAGAGTTTCTGCGGCATTGGTCGTGCCCTTTCGTCAAGGTGGAACACGAAAGGATACAGCTAATTTTTCGACCAACTTGGTGCTAAGCAGCGCCCGTTGAGTTGTTATATATGATTTCATTTGTTACAAATTGTGTTTCATTTGAATCTATTGTATCGTTATACCCTTGTATCGTGATATCACATTGAATTTTTGTGTACATGTATGCCAACATAATCATGTATATTAGAGCAAATGTCTTCACTGTAACGTAGTGAATGATGGGGAGTGGGGCGAAGCATTCGTCCGTCCATTCGTTCTTGCTTCCGTCCGTTCCTGCGTACGTCTGTGTAACCGTCCATGCGTCCATCCACCCGTCCGTGCGTTCGTCCGTGCATCCGCGCCTGCGTCCGTTCATGCGTCCATCCATGCACCTGTCTGTGTGTCCGTTCGTCCATCTATTCAGCACTCCAAGTACCACCATCTCGCATCTTTTCATCATATATTCTCCATATAGAAGCAACGCCATCCAGCGGACATTTCAAGGACTAAACGGGAGGTGGCACATGCACACTTTCTTACGGCTTGCGCTTCGGGTTTACTTCCCACCTTTAACAACCTCGAGTTCATGGCATATACTAGTTCACTGTATTCATGGCTATGCGGCCCAACGCTCGCTAAACCTTTCTAAAACCTAGGAGGTTACACCCAGCGAGTATAACGTAGCAACCATTTCTTGTCAGATCGTGCTCAATGTACATGCCAATAGCTGCTAATGGGGATCGCAGCGTGCGCGTTACCTAAAGGCCGAATGCTCCTGTCTCTCATTCCCCCTTAGGAGCCATTAACATGTGCATTGAGCACTATCTTTTATTGTTCAACAACGCACAGAAGAAATCTCTCACCGGAACCAATTTGGAGGTCAAAATCGTAAGGACCGCTATTTCGGGTATGTGCCACTGGTGGTTACGTCCTACGAGGGACGCACAAGCCACGCCATAAGGAGCTTCGCCCCTAAAAAAAAGCCTTGCTTTTTGAACCAGCACTTGACAAGCAGCTAAGCTTTTTAAGTACTTATGACGTCCAGTGCTGCGAACTTTCGAGACCACGAAGGAAGAAAAAACTGAGGAGAGGCCCTGTCGTATCCCATTGCATTGCGAGAAGTGTGGCGAAAGTGACGTCAAATTTATGGGGCAAACAAAACAGCAGACGCTCCGCGGTGTGCTCTCAGCACCCGTTCGCTTCTGCGCGGACTTATAGCCCCAGCGTAAACTTAACGCGTGTTGTATGGTTTGCATGCAGTAAAATGTTGCGAGCACATTTTTGCCAGACTGTTCGTGCATGGCAGGCGTGCTCGGTTTTTGTGCAATAGCGCAGAAAGCGCCGGTACGTGCCGTAATCAAAATCATTCAGTGCCCCTACATCATCATATTCGAACTCACCCGGCAGTGAATCACGCGTCCTGCTCGCCATGAGGCCTTTTTTCCCCTTATCCAGATTTCCCGATCAACGGACCGATTAGCAGCTCTTTGCTCGTATATAGTGTCAGTGCGGCAATGCACGATTTTGAGAGCTTGCTTCGTAGGCTCATAGTTATTTTGTGCTTCTTATCTGTCCCTTCTTATCGACTTCACGTAGATAAGAAGGGACAGCTGTATTGTATACGCAATCGTGCACGTAAAGTGTGCGATTCCAGTGCGCACACAACTGACACGCAGCGAGCGCACACCGTACAATACATACACAGATAGTACGATAACAAGAAATGTTTATTGCCCTTCCGTATGAAAGACACAAATTTTTAAAAAGTCACAGCTTTGCCGGAAAGGCGAAGCACATGAACGCGATAGCAGCAAATTGAAAGGTCACGCGCGAAACGGAAAGCAGATAGAAACATGCCCCGCGTTCCTCACGCACAAATGACGCACAAAACGTTCTCACAGGTACGGATGGATGCACGCGAAAAAGCGTCTTATCTGTTACTTTGCTGCGTCTGAAAAGCGCGCGCTTTTTGAAAACGGAGACTGCAATGATTGCAGTCACCTTTGTGCACCCGGTAAATAAAGCATAATCGTTCCAGGTAAAGCCCGTGGCCAGCCCAGGCGTACGACCTTCACAATCTCCCCCCCCCCCCCTCCCCGAAATGCTCATGAATAGTGGTAAGTAGCTTGCCGCGTGAACGGCGAAGGATGTGCTCCGGAGTGGCTTTCAATAAAGAAAGAAAAAGAGCTGCGGGGTGGCTTAGCGGTTAACGCCTCACTGTCACGACGCAGAGGTGCCACGATCGATTCCGCGCGCCGGAGTTTTTTCTGAATTCTTTTGTTTTTGTTTTCATATGTATCAATACGAATACACATACGGTGCATGACATCGACGCCGGCGGCAAAATACAGCCGAGAGTGTCCATATAATTACTATCGTAATAAAACGCAACACGGCGCCTACAACACTAAAAAGGAAAGTTTACGTGTGTTCTCAGTTGACACAATGAGTAAGAACCAACGGAGCGAACAGCCGAGAGCTCCGAATGCAAATAGCATGCATTGTTGATAGCCATTGAAGCGAACGTACGTGAATAGCGACGCCAGGTACTTCCGGCAGTGCCCGCGATTCGCACCGAGTGTACACTGCAGCTGGGCATCGCACAACTTTCATAAAAATAGGCAAAAGAAGCAGCACTCGTGAATTGACTCGCCGCCTGCAGAGAACACCTATCACTCCGCTGACGCCGCTTCCAAGGCTGTTGCGGCGGCTGCCCGCCGGAAATCGCGAAGTGTTCATTCGCTTCTTCGCTAGGTGGCAGTGCGGGTGTTTGCGATGCTGCGGTTTCACGGATATGACGTCATGGCCTCTCCTTAGTTTTTTTTTCCTCCGTGTTCGAAATGCACAACTTATGGCGAATTCGATTGAGAGAAGTAGAGGGACAGGGCAGCGAGCACTAAGAGCAGGGCCACTGGAATGCAGCATGCTCCCAGAGAGCAGGTGAGAGGGTGACGAGTCAGGATACCATGTGATCCAAACATTCTAAAATACACGCGAAATCGATCAGTTACCTGTTCATTATCCCAATACAAAGCATATTTTTGCAACGACGCATTTGCCAGACGTCCAGCTGTTATCGTCGCCGCCCGTTCAAAACAGCGGAACAGTAGTACAGTGGCTATTCTAGCCGCTGTAAAAGTAGTTTCAAACTACACATGGTGGCTGCCATTGCCGCCGCACTCGCCGGCTGAAGCAAAATTCAGAAACAGTTGCATGCCAAGTGACTCGTCGTGCTGCGCCTACTGCGCTATTCAGGCAAAATCACTGCAAACTGCTCTCGGCGCAGCAAAAGCGCTCTCGCTCTACCAATAGATGACAGTGCTCCTGCACCTGTTCGACCACTTAAACACGCCGGCTCCGAAGAGTGCACTTTCAGCGCGATTTCGAGTGCTCCTGCTCTCTCATTGGAATTCGAGGTTAGTGTCACCGCTAGAGATCTAAAAATACAGGTGGTTGAGTAGTCCCTAAACTTTACGTTATCTGGATTGTCGTTTTTAATGTTTAAATGGCCAAAGGTTACAAAGCATGGCTGGAAATGGGTGCAATGAAAACGTGCTTAGTTATTTGCAATCTGTCTTTGCACACATTAATATTAAGTACAAAAAGGCAATGCACTCACCTGAAGAAGCTACAAGTTGAAGTGTTCATTTCTTGATCTCACATTATCGAAAACCAACCACAAATAATTCTTCTCCGAGTTGCTACCCCTAGTACTTTTTTTAACAATAAACTCCCCCTTAGATATAATAGAACAGGGCTTCCAGCTTTTGTAGAGGTCTGTAATGTGGGCACATGCAATTTTCTGTGCATTGCTGGCTAAGTTAGCGCTTGTCGCAAGTGTTCTGGTACACTGTCATGTATACTTGTACAACAACTTCATATTCTGTCATGGCTGCTGTTTGGAATACAGCAAGTAAGGTGCATTAGGCAAATAACAACTGCTGTAGTAAGAAGGCTCTGCGTGCTGAGGTTTTGCCAACCAGTGCGATAGTGGTGATAACTGAATGTGCTCGATCCCATCACAAGTAAAATGGCTAGATGTTGTGGGGGTGCTATCACCCCCTGTAAAGTCATTTGTGCCATCGTGACGCACAAGTGTCGTGAATAGGCTGCATTTACGGTTAACAACCATCAAGTGGTGGGTGGCGTTGTGCTCGCTTGTAGTTGACCATCATCAAGGTTAACGCGGTAGAACCAGCACTGACTTCTGGCGATGAGGCTGGGTGGCGGCACGCGACGCAAGCTCTCTCTGGAGTGTAGAAGCTGGCGCGAACTGTCGCCTCCTGTGGTGGTTCCATGGGAACGGCGCTGCAGGTTGTCTCCTGTAGGCCTCTCGTGGCGAGCCGAGCGTAATGTTGACCGAGTGCTTTGGAATATTGTATAAGGCGTGTTCAGCTTATTGATCCCAACTAATGTATTTCATTCGGGTAACGATATATCTGGGGAGACAGGGCGTTTTTTTCAAGCAATACACATTTTCCCCCCAAAAGCTATTTTAGTTAGTCGTTTGCTCTTTTCGCAGACAATATGTTATCAATGTAAAAGTAGTTCAATAAAAATAATTTTGTTTGGTTTGACAAGGTCTGCTGTGTTCCGAGAACATGCCTAATTTCGGAGACCTCACAATGTTTAAGATGTTTCTCAAGTAGCCAGTACACCATCGATTGAGGTCTGTAATTTGTGGTTTGATATGTGATATTATCTCCCATGGGTCATGGAGACCCATCGTATTTTAAGTGCACACAGGCAGGAAAGAAATTGAAAGAGTGCAGAAGCTCAGTCTCTTTGCAACAGAGAGGAGTTTTAAGCCCCCTCGTTGTTGTCATTTATTTTCTTGCTGTACACTAACTTTTTTTTAAACACTTTGGATTTGGTGCAACACCAAAAGAAAAAAAATGGAGGAAGGGGAAAGCGGCGCGAAGACATTTCATTTACATACACACACACAAAAGAAGCATTTTCTTGGTGCGTAGCTTCAACGCATTTAGTAAAAATAAGGCAACTACACCACCAGCATCCTCTGCTTTCTCACCCTCTGTAGTTGCAATATATATATAGACAATTTTCATAAATACGTTTTGCGAGTTGGCCCACTTACGTCACGACACACGATGGGTTCGTCAGATGTATAGCATTTCTTTTAAGGGTCTACAAAACACGCGTTGACTTCCTCTGTCGAGTTTCGATGGAACTGCAAAGCTGCTGCTCAAGAACCTGTTTCACACTGTATTTAGCATTCCAAGAAAGTCTGGCAGGTCGAGCCTTCTTTTTTCCCCTGTTAATTTTGACAACTAAGTGGCTCCATTTGAAAACAGCTGTATTTCTGTTATCGCAAGATTGGCATCCATATAAAAGGCAAGATACGTTATTAATCGCAGCCTGCTAAAGACGATGCGGCGAACGACCTCTGTCGAGCTTTTAAATACCAAAACAAAACAAAAAAACTATATTCCACAAGTTTGCAACACTAATAAGCTCCGTTACTCCTGCCGAGTGAGAAAGAGAGAGAAAATGAAAGTATTACCGTAGATGCAAAATGCCCACCTATTTCCATTTTTCTCAAACAGTATAAATATATGTACACCGCCAAAAGCTGTGCACTCCCGCGAGCGACAAAAAGTATGTCACACGAGGGAGACTGTAACAGATGCATGTCCAGCAGATCCATAGATTCTTGTTTCCTTTTTCCGCCTCGGAGAGTCTCAAAAGGCGAGCGAAAATGAGAAAGAAGTGTTGCAAAGAATTTCTTTTACTAGAACTACTGAACAGCCTGTGAAGAGGTACCAGCTCGCAATGCCAGATTCTCGCCGTTTTCCTTATGACGTAATAAATATCCCCAAACAAGAAAGAGTCAGTGAAAAAAAATCCGTGGAGACATACGCTAGTCTGTCACACTGCCGGCCAACCTCATCAGTAAGCAGGAAAACAAAACTATGACATACCGCGTGTCGGCGATAAGAGTGCATATCACAAATTTCAGCAAGCTAAAGAAAACAAAGTCACTTGAAGGTTGAAAAGAAATAATCAACAAAGTCCTCTTTGTATACAGCAAGCCTGTTGCAGCCGAGAAAAAAAAGGGGAACTCCATCCTTTTTACTTCTTTTTCCCCCTCCCTGTAGTTATTACATGGTATTTACAAGTACACATTTGCGCGCACTCACTTGCAAACAAACAAATAATCAGAAAACACGCTCCTTGATATTCCTATGTACATTATGAACACTCAGAATGTACACACATGCACACACAGCCGTAGAATTCTCGTGTATTTTGTCTTTTTTTTTTCTGTCCTCACATTTTCTTCCCCTTGCTCATTTCACTACTGTAAGCAAACTATAGTACAAAAATGACACACACACATGTACACACGCATGCACACAGTTTTTTCTTTTCCCTTATTTTTAAAAACCTATGTACACACGCCCATGCACAATAACGCATTTCATTTTTTACACTTTCCTCTTCTTTCGCTTCGTCTTCCACTCTTCACACTTTTGACTCGACACGCAGGCACCCTCCGCCGTGACGGGCGAGAGGGAAATGGAAGTAGTCCGTGAGAAAGCTCAACGCGCCGCGCCGCTCAGCAGCGCGGTCATAAATGTTTAAAAAAAAGAATGATGAGGAAAGACGGAAGAGGAAGAAACATCACTACGGTTGCACATTTTCCACGGCCATCACGCGACGCGGCAAGGGGGGAGAAGGGGGCGGAATGGGTTGGGTGCAGAGGCGGGCAAGGTTCGTCGGTGTATTAAACCAATAAATAAAGCACCCAGCATCAATCTTGCCTTACACGGTATTACTAAATTCGTTGTACGAATGGCTGTTCCATGCAGACAGACGATCCTTCATCAGCGTGCGTTTGATTAGGGCAGAGTGCGTAAAAAAGAATTTCAATGGAAAGCACACGACAAAAACTTCACTACTTTGCTGCGCAGCTGTCCACAAGTGGCACGCAATTTTCCCAGCTACGGTGAAGGTCGCAACGGGTTTCTTCAGATGAATCATTCCAATGCTATTTTCAACTTGGAATAGTGTCGCCACCGTCTCGGAAATCTCATGTCTTTGAAAAGTACTGCTGCTAGGCCTGTTCTTTTCAAAAGCACAAGCTTCATGGAGATTCTTGGAACGAACAAAATGCCAGGAGATGAGGCAACTTGTTTTTGCCTACCCTCACAGCACATTTGCCCCCTTTACGAGTCTTTGCTGCACGTAGTTGTCCACCACAGTATTCAGCCATACCTTTTCAGTGCATTCTCTAAGTAAATTAATAAAACACTTTTTTTTCTCCACTACTTTTGCCATGTTTTTGGACAGCTTACTGCTTTGGATGCTAGTGCTTTGGAAGAAACGCACCGCTGTTGAGATGCGGCTGCTGCCCTCACTGCGGTTCCAAACCATGCCCGCTTCTGCTCGCCGCAACAGGAGAGAAGCAATCTTTCGTGTCCCCACCCACCATTGAGAAGCCCCCCTGCCACCACTACCTTAGCTGCCCTTCCGTCTTGTGATTAGCCAGTTCTCTCCTCTCCTTGGCATAGAGCGCCACATCGTGGTGCGCGCCGTGGTCCACGAGCGAGCTCATCTTGTGGTTGAGAGATGACAGCCCGTGTGGAGGCGGCCCGCTGTTGGGTCCCACGGCACTCCCTCCGCTGCCGCAGGGGATCAGAGGAGGCGGCACGGCACCCTCGGGGCGGGACCCTGGGGGTGCGGACGAGGTGGGACCGTTTTTGGCTCCGGCCCGGCTCGTTGCCGCAAGCCCCGCGAGGCCTCCGAGGTAGGGACTCGGCGGACCAAGCGGCGAGAAGAGCGTAGAGAAGGCTGCTGGGTCGGTGGGCCGAAGTGGAGGAGCGGCTAGCTTGCTTTGCAGCTCTCGCTCAAGCGCCAGTCTGTCCAGCTCGGAGATGTCACGGAATCTGTCGTGGAAGGCGACCATGGGATGATTGAGTAGGCGGTAACGCTCCCGCTCCAGCTCGTTGCGAGACGGGTGGTGGAAATCGAGTAAAGTTCTGTAAGGGTCGCCACCGGGGCCACCTAATGGCGGAGCCGCCACAGCAGCTGCAGCACCCCAGAAGGCAGCTCTCTCGGCAGCACCAAGACTGAGGAAGTGCGCGTTCCTGAAGTCTTCGGAAGACGGAACGGGCGGTGCAGCGGCTGGAGGAGGCGCCGGTCGCTTCCGTTCGGGCTCGTCAGGTTCGCGCCGTTCTTCTTTCACCCTCACTTCGACCTTGGGAGGCGCCGGTGGTTCGAATGGGCCTTCAACTTTCGGAGCCCTGGCAGGCGACCGGGTTGGAGGTTCCCGAAGACTCCACTCCGTCTGGCGCGAATGGGGCTCTCGGTCTCTGATGAGTTGGTGGTGGCTGTTGCCCGTCCCTCGTGCATCCATATAGTCTCCATTACGTAGAATTCCTTCCGATAGATTGTGGTGCAAGTGTAGCCGGTTCTCCCGGTCTCTAAAGGATGGAAACCAAATGTAATGAGTCAGTTAATGAGCACACAAAAATGGGGATTCTTCTTTAGATATGGATAGAAGCAAGCAATGAATGAAGGCAGAAAAAATGCAATTTACCTTTCTCGTTGTCTTTCTTCCTGTGCCTTCTTTTCCCTAAGGATAGAAGAAGACGCATTAGTGGTGCACTAAGCTCTTGCAGGAAACTACTTTTGCAAAAACCTGCAAGGTGGAGAGACTTTTTCGAAAATAATGTCACCCACCTGTTTACAGCACAGAGCAACAAACTGATGGCTGACAATTTTTCCTCTCAATCTCCACGGTCAATGTATTAAAAATAGCCATGAAGTAAACACATGTGAATGAGACACACCTCTCAATCTCCTTAGCCTTCTCGAGAGCCGCAGCTGCCTCTCGTTCCTTGCGCTCTTTCTCCGCAGCAGCAGCGGCCGCAGCAGCAGCCTCGAGCCTGCGTTGCTTCTCCCCTTCGTGCTGTTGTTGCTCTAGGCGTTCACGGTCAGCCTCGGCCTTGAGGCCTCCCCAGGCACCACCACTCGAACCGGGTTGGGCACCGCCCGCCGCTTGGGACGGAGGAGCGGCTCCGGCCAAAGGGCCGAACGGCGCTCCGCGATGCAGGCGTGCCCACGGGTCCTGGCCCAAGCAGCTGGCTCCCAGATCACCCCGGCTCGCAAAGAGACTAGCTGGCGGATTCCCTGACAAACCGTCTGAAAACACAAATAAGGCAACACTTACTTTCAAGAACTATTAAACCAAGGCACTCATACAGTCGCCGACCAATGGGTTGTACATTGATATTTCGGACAGCCGCACAGCACCGCCGACGGCGCCTTAGATGTAATGCTTAAAGACGGCCGATATTTCGGACAGCTGCCAAGTCTGCATTCAATAATCAGGATTATGTCCGAAACCGGCGCGCACACCGAAACAGCAGCCGTTATTTCCTCCAGTACCCGTGCCATACAAACTATGGCCTCAGAGATGAAAAACAAAAGAAAACTGGCGATCTATGAGGCTTTCCTTCGATTCCCTCACAATACTATAACAGTAAATGCTAATCTTGGAGGCACTGCCCAACTGTGGGAAGTCGTAGCGACATTGTGAACATCCTATGTTCTGTTTCCAGTATCCCCGCACTGTCATGGCGCTGTACTGCTATTGCCGCCATTCTGTCTTATGTGTCTGTGGTACTGCGTCCTGCTGAATTCTGCACGTGTGAGTGCCAAAATGAACGACGACGACATAATTGAGCAAGTTCTGCAAACGCCAAACAGTGATTCTGACTCCGATGATGACAACACACCGTGTGCTCTGAAGCCGTCACATGCGCACCTGTTTCCGCAATTCTTTCGCTGACCTACCTGTGGTCCTACAGCAAGCCTACCACACTGGTGGAAATACTGACTGACTCGGCTGCACATAAGGGGAAGTGCGTGAAGCAATGTATTGACAGCTTTTTCCAGCTTCCAGTTCACTGAAGCGACAAAAAAAGTATTTTTTTTCTGGGGCGTTGTTTTCTCCGCGCATACGATAATACAGACTTATGTATGGTCCCCGTGGAGTTCGAATTATCGGTCGTCAACTCTACATGCAACTTTCATTTTTTGCTTTCTTTACTCTGCATTTTTCTTTTTTTTTTTGTTGATTCTCATCTTTGCAATGCTTTTTTATTTTGTTTGTACTAGTTAGAATCATAGCACGTTCTCACACATTTAGGCATATTATGTGACGTTTTCATTTTCGTCACCAAGTGACAATTCAACAATACCTTCCTATATGTGTACCTTTACTATGTGCTTTATATTACAGTCGAACCCATTTATAATGAACTCGAAAGTGCCGCGACAAATGGTCGTTATATCAGTAGTTCGTTGTATATGAAGTCACCCATAAAAACGGCCACATAGTGGCCAACACATTTTTTTGGGAGTATTTTTTATTCAAAAGTGCGAACAACCCTTCCACTGAAACGTTAAGCTTTTTTGGTATGCCAAACGACGCTCGTTCGCAATTAACGCTGTTCCACTAAATCGCGATCCACTGACGTCAAACCAGTCATACCTGGCTATTTGCGTGCAGTATGTCGCTTACCATAGCTACTCTCGCCGTCGCAATGCCAGTTCGCTTGCAGTCCAATGTATGCACGTGTTTGCACGTTCTTCGCACATATTTCACTCGGGATCGTGCTAGGGTGCGGCGAGTAGCCTGTTCGCTTTTTGCGAGCAATGTGCACAAGCGGCCTCGCACGACGTGGCGGCGGCGAACTTGCAAACGGCACCATGACGTACCACCATCACTCCGCCGAGCAGTTATCTGCAGAAGACTGTGATAAGCTTGCCGGCAGTGAGTGAAAATGGCACGTTGATTGCCAACAGCCACCTCGCTATCGCTCTTATTTATGCTTATTCGTTAAGGCATCGCTGCGAACCGCGGGGAAGTCGTTATAAATAATCGACCGGTCTTTGCTGTTACACAGGCCTTAGAATGGTGAAAAATGACCAGAAAGTCTCTATTTCTTGAATTTTTATTCCAATAACCACGTCTTTTGAAATTTGAACCCTAAATTCGATCGATCAATGGGTTAAAATTTGTTATAATGTCATTACAGGAGTTGTGAAACGCCCCGCTCAAGATAAAATCTGTTCGAACTTCGCGCGCACGCCACTGGCGAAGCAGTTGGCCGATCGCCGCCATCTTGAGCTCGTTTTGAAGCTGATTTCTTAGTGCGCATTTTGCCACCCTTTAAAATGATGTCACATGAAATGAACGGCTGCCCTTGCCCCTAATCTGAAGCCCTTTTCCCAATCGCTCATTGGCAGGAGCGTGTGCGTGCCAGGCGAGCCCATTGTCTCTCACTTTCCGTTGGCTGATGCTACCAACGAGGTTGCATTTTTTTTCCCCAAGTTGTTGTTTGTCGGCCGCTGGCTCCGTATCGTGCATGTGTCCGTCTGCTTGCTTCCCACTCGTACTACGCGATCGACGCAATGACTTTCCATTTTTTTCGCCGGCATGACTGGTGACGCCCGTCTGAAGAAGACGACGCGCCAAGCGCACGGCAAGAAACAAAGGCATCCATGGAACGCACCGTAGAAGAAAGCCGACAAGTGGTGGTGTCTCGTGGTGGTGTCGAAAAGTTCAGCATGGCAGGGAACTTTCAAGCAACAACAGTTATCGCTTCCCGCATTTATGGCTTCTCGCGTTTGAAGGAATTGTTGGTTTATCGTTGGCAGTTGTAGATGCCGAGAGCAGCACCAGAAATCTTTGTCGTACCAAATGTGACCGCAACTTTGTATTGTTATGCCTGCGAGTCCACAGCGAACGTCCGTGCCTCTGAAAAAGGCAATCTGTGTCAAGGCCAGCCCGCCTGATGCGAACAACTCAACGGTGTCAACAGGCGACGGCGCCTTTCTGGCGTGCACGTGCAGTGAGTCACCTCCGCAAGCGAGCCCGTAAACAACCGGCGTCTTCCTGTCTGGGGGGGTGACGCAATGCGTGGCGACGTCACTCGTCCTTGGGTGCAGCCACCTGCAGCGCAGCCTCTCCAGATTCGATGAAAAAGAAGGACGCGGCCCAGCGGCGACCCCATTGGAGGATTCTGACCTCGCGACCAGCGGCGCTTCTGGTTGGACATTTGGGTTGGACCCGGGGCATATAAAAGAAGCCCTGCGCCACGTCGAGAGGAGACCCCTTTGACAGCGGACCCATTTGGGAGTAGAGCTATGTGTTAGAGAGAAGAGCTCGGCTCTTCGAGTCTCTGTCGGCCCTAGAGCCAAATTTGTAACGTCTCTGTATATATGCTGTACATAAACCTTGTTTAACTCACCGTCGTCTCGTCCGCTCGTCTATCAGCTCTGCGCAGAAGCAGTCGCGAGCTGAAAAACCTACGCTACCAAACGGCAGGTGACCTTTCCGGCATGCCGTCTTTCGAAACAGTGGTTGCAGCGGAGAGATTCGAGGCGCCCTTCGTAACGTCGTTGGAGGTGCGCTTCGCAACAGTATGCTGCCTCCTATTTTTTCTTTTAATTTTCATCCCCCTCTCTTTCGGTCTGCCTATGAAGAAAGGTCTGGAAAGTGAACCACCTCGATCGCAACGTCCGAAATCTGCATGAGGTGCTCGCCGCATACTGTCATATCTTCCACCCCAAGCAAACTGCAGCAGTGCACACGCGAGCGTGCCTATCACATGTTTCAGAATGCCTGTTTTACTTTTTTCCGCTTTGCATGTGCTATATTTTTACCGCGACCGTGTCGGAAATGTTTGTTGTATAAGCTGGAGGTGCTGAATAAAGGTCGCTGTATCTGGACTCAGTTTCAAAAGGTAGCATAGCAAAACCGTAAGTGCACCTAAATATGGTCGTTATAACCAATAGATCGTTCTGAGGTCGTTATAAGGGGGTTGAACTGTATATTACTATTACTCGTGAGCATCGCGCATTGTATGTTGCTCCGATGCTGTCAGTGTACAATAAGACAGCAAAATGCGGCAGATTCACACTCCACAGCTAATACTATTGAAAAAGTCAAGAGCTAGAAAGGGGATATCCTGCAGGGGCCCAACCAGCGAGGCAGATATAGATAAAAAAATGCCCTAACTTGGTGTGTGATGCCAGTTACACCCAGCTAATTTGCACTTTTGATTCTGAAAACAAAAAAAAAAAGGGCTTGGTCCTTCATTTTTCTCCCCCTAAAACTTGAAAGGGACACTAAATGCAACTACTAGGTTGATGTTGATTGCTGTAATAGTGGTACAGAAATCTTGTAGTGTTACTTTTTGTGCCAAGAAAGTGCTTATTTTGAAATAAAATCACGTTGTAGTAGTCCAAATTGGGTTACCACACTTCAAATTACCCCCCTCAAATAGAACGCGTCACATCACTGTTGCTGTGCACAACGTTGCCGGACCTAACCGCACGGACGCCGACACTAGTAGCAGCAGAACAAACGTAGTGAGAGCCACAGCAACGACATTCATTGAAAATTTCCTGCCATGGCCTGCAAGATGGCAGACGTGCTTGGTTCAACTGGACCTTCTAGATGGCACGACCCGTACAGTTTAACCAGGTGAAAATTGAACTTTTGAACCACTTGTGCCATTCTCCATAGTAACATTTAGAGAATCAACTAGGAACGAACAAGCAGTATTTTATTATGTCTTTGATGTAAAGAAGGTTCCTTATTTAGTGCAGCTAGTTCGATTACTAGTAATTAATTGCAGGCAGTATTTCTGACGTAATCTGGGTCATTTTGTGAATGTTCAATCGTAGTGCATGTGTTATCGTGCACTTACCTTAATTTCTCGGCATGTAGGGCCCGGCTGTTGTCTTACATAGAGCTTTTACTCTGACATAAATTGTTATTGGAATTTAGTGTCCGCCCCGCCACGGTGGTCTAGTGGCTAAGGTACTCGGCTGCTAACCCGCAGGTCGCGGAATCGAATCCCGGCTGCGGCGGCTGCATTTCCGATGGAGGCGGAAATGTAGGCCCGTGTGCTCACATATGGGTGCACGTTAAAGAACCCCAGGTGGTCGAAATTTCCGGAGCCCTCCACTACAGCATCTCTCATAATCATAAGGTGGTTCTGGGACATTAAACTCCACATATCAATCAATCGAATTTAGTGTCCCTGCTTTCAAGACGTTCATACAGGTTGTTCCTGCAACTTTCCTGATTGGTATGCCGAGAACTTTTACTGTGCATGCCGAGAAATTTTACTGTGCTAGATGTGTACGGGTGGTACATCAATGAGTAAGGTGATGTGGACTGCCACAAGGCCATCCAAGTGCTCAAAAATGGTCTGGTTCAGACAGAGGCACAAAAGAAGCACTACACTTCCATCAAATACTTTTTTGGGTCTTAAACAAGTTCTTTTGGGTCAGAGCTGTATCCAATGCGTTTATTTTATTGTTCACTGGTACTCTCTTACAATTTAACCTCATGTTTGCATTTCATTTCTCTGCTACTGAGGTGCTTTCTTTAGTGTTGCCCAAAAAATGTAATATTAGAGGGGTTTTACGGTCAACGCTGCGAATATGACTGAAAGACGCCTATAACAGCTACAAAATGCAAAAACGAGATGATAACTCACGGAGTCCTCCCAGCGTGCTGTAAGCGGCGTTGCCGGGGCTAGCGCCAACAAATCCTGGGAAACCAGGCCTTGCAAATGGAGACATGCCGGGAGGAGGAAGTACTCGTGATGCAGTTGATCGGCTGAGAGAGCTGCTCGATGTGGACACTGGCATTCTACTCAGGGTGGCTGCTGTGAAAATCCCAGAACGAGTCGCAAGTCAGTTGCCATGCCCACCTAGTCGCCAAGGCATAGATGTGTGCTTGAGGCAAAACATATATCTGAAGCTCTTTATCAAACTTGAGATGAGAATCTCTAACAGTTCCTGCCTTTTGAATGTCTTCTAACCAGCCATTTACAATGCGGCTGTTGCTCTGCAAGAGGCCCGTTTATATTAGCTGAAGAATAAAAGAAAAGTAAATTTTCCTCAGATTAATACATTGCCTTTTTTTTTTTACAAAACCAAATCACCACACTCACCACCAGGAGACACATAGCAAATGAGAGAACAGAAAAAAAAAAAAATGCAGTGGGTAACACAACTTTAAAACTTCTGCACCAATCACTATGGCATCACAGATTTTGATGGCACTGCGAAACAGTAAAAATGAAGTGCATTGTTAACTGAGGAGGCGGAAGGCTAAACGTACCAAGTTTCCAGACATTGCACTGAGGTAGTGTTGACAAAATACGAAAACCACATTTAGAAATTTAGGAGTCAAGCTTTAAAACAAGCTTTTACCTTAATTTCCTTCGGTATTATTATAGCGACGATAGCGAAAATAATCATGTTAGTTTTCAGAAGTAAATTTACCAATCTAAACTGATCTATTGTTTCCCTTTAACATCTCTGTATGTGTCTGACCCAGTTAAAAACAGCGAAAGCAAAAGAAGATGATGCTGTAAGTAGTTGGATAGATCAATATTTTTAGTTAAGGCAGTTTTTCAATTATAGTGACACTGAGCAAAGGATGAACTGACATTTTAATTTATGTTTTCACATGGTAGCTGGTACAGTAACATAATGTTAACACGAGGGAAAATCATAAATTGGGCCACTCACCTATGTGACCAGGGCCATGGGTGAGGAAATTGCCATGAGGGGATGTTTCGAAGGGTGCCCTTGGATGACCAGCTGTAAAAGACGGTTTTCTCAATGTTTACGGGTGAAGCAGTGTGAAATGCATGGTCTGACAACGGTGCCACTAATTGTAGCTGAACAAAATGCGAAGACAGAAAAGCAGCAAAGATTATGTTTCAGTGGCAAAACGTAGAATGTGACTTTTTACTTGTTGATCCCCTGACTTATCTGCTGGTGTTCAAAGAAAAAAAAATATCGAAGTGACCCACAATCAAACTATTGCATGCATGAATGTCTCTGACACATGAACTGGTGTGATAGTTTCTCTCAAGTTGCAAACTGCACACCGAAATTACCAACATAATGCTGTGCACATGTAACATCCTCTTGCAAAAGAAGAATTCGTTAGGCTTTCCCATTCAGCTTGAGATATGAAGTTCTCACAACCACAGACGATAGAAATTATTTTTTTAAATGTTGTTCCCAGCGTAAAATATAAAACATCCTTTACAAACTGTGGCATAGATGGCTTCTTAGTGAAAGAAAAAGAGAAGAGGAAGGAAAGCAAACACACCTCCAGCTGCTCCCAGTAATGCTGATGGGAAGGCGCTGAGGTCGTGCGGCCTTGGGAGTGACGAGTATAGGTGGTGGTTGGGCGCCCGCAGGAGGTCGCCCTTGGCAGAGAGAGAAGCTGAGGAGGGAGCGGGGCCGGGCTGCGCTGACGCCCCAGGCCCAACGGCAGAGGGGCCACTTTTGTGCGAGGCAGGCTCTGAGGATGACTGCTGCTGTTGCTGCTGCTGCTGGTGCTGTTGCTTTTGCTGGTGGTTGTAGATCTCCCAGGCGATGCGGACATGCATCGCGCACCATCGACCGGATTTCTGCATAACGGGACAGAAAAACTTTACTCGCAGGCTTATACGAGTATGTGGTGCCAACCACCTATGAGAACCAAAAAAGCAGGACACTTGTAGCAGTGTACCAAATGTTTACTTAGTACTACTCTTCATTGTTTTCAGAATTCTGCCCCATTTTTCTTTCCTCAAGCGAATATGCTTGCTTTTCGAGATATGCCAGAGCCTACTACTATCAAACATATTACTGGAGAAAAACAGCAAACACGTCGAAGAGAGATGAGAAGTTAGTGGCTTGATTGATCAGCCCATGCCACATGCTTTTGTCAAACTAACGCATTTCTGGTTAGACAGCGGTGAGGTAGTGAAAGCTCAGACTTGCAACAGGTGCCTGCAATGTCTCATCTATGTTGGTAACAGGTTCTTCAACATGTCTGAGCTATTGCGTGTTTTAATGCGAGGCAAATACAACACCTTTACAGCAATCAAAACAGCGACTGCAGCCGCAATATTCAGCTAACATTTGATTGTCAGGAGGAGATTCAAAGTAACTTACTACAAAAAAGACAGATACAGTGGACATTAGCTGCAATAACTGAAAATGCTAGCTACAGGCAGTGGGTTGCAACAGTGTTAACATAACGCATCAATTGCAGCCAATGCACGGCAGCTTGTCTGAATATGAACTGTGTCAGTTGCCCCTTGGTTTGCAATAACCATACCTACCCACTGACTGTGACAGACTGGTATTCATGATCAACGACACTGCCCTGTCAACAACCCTATCAATAAAACAGAAATGCCCGATTTCAAGTATGTTGTGCCCAACTGTATCATTAGAGTTGACTCTCGTTGATTCACACTCGTAGGGACCTCTGAATTTTGTTTGAATTATCAAGAAGTTTGAATTATCAGAAGCTCTCAGACAGATGACTATGGGTGAGGTGACACCACACATCATGATTAAGCATTGATTTCATCACATATAAAAAATTTTGTGTCTTTAAACCCTAACTGCAAGCAATGAACAAAAAGCAGAGGTGTAAGGTCCACAAGTTTATTGGTCATTTACTGCTGATCAGAGGTCTTTAGGAAATCGTGAATATCCAACTGCTTCTTTGCTATAGGTATGTGCCTTCAGCACAAAGCTCTCTATACCAGTTGAAAAGCATCACGGCTTACCATGTGTGTGCTTTGTTTCAAAGATTTGTTTACTAGCAAAGCCTTTTTCCCTTGAAGGCCCGAGGTGCTTATTTTTTGTTTTTAGACTGTTAGGATTATATAGGCATGCCAATTTTTAAATATAAGTGAGAAAGCAGCAGATATTTTCTGGTATAAAACTGCAAAAAGTATGAATTAACAGAACGATAGAGTTTCAATTAAGAGGCTTTGAAATACATTGAAAGAATAGAAGACCAACTGAAAAATTGAATTTTGTTTGAATTAACCGAAAGTATAAATTATCAGAGTTTGAATTATCAAGAGTCTACTATAGTTAGTTGTGCCCTACACAACATGAAGATTGCTAAACAGGGTGCTCAAGCAATGGTATGACAACTATAGAAGCGGTCACATGCAGGCTATGTATTCCTTGCAACCTAATTGCCCCATTTCTATGGCAAAAAAAAAAAAAAAAATGTTCACCAATCCTTTGTCAACTGTTTTCATGAGAAAGATGCACATCAGTTTGACAACTGTTATTACGCGCTGAATTGTTGCTTGTGATAACAAAAAAGCAAGCCCATCAAGCACCTGCAACGTGCTCGCGGTTTCCCCTTATTGTGAACGTCCCGGGATAATCCCGGGAGTGGACGTTGTACTGTTGTTCGGGGTGCCGCCAAGGGCAATAAAGTGTTGTGTGTTTTGTACTGGAACACTTGCCGCGCCGCACTAAACGACTGATTGAGCGCGCACGGAGCGGTGCGCTACACGCGAGTAGGTGACGGAGTCGCGGCCCTGTGGCTCGCTAAGCGTGAACCCGCGGTGATGATACGCTACGGACCTATAAAAATGCAAGATTGCTACATGTTATTAAATTTCTGCAGTGCTTACGCTTGTTGTGTGTACTCATACAGTCAAACTCCACTACAACAAAGGCCGCTTCAACAAGAAATTCACAATTCCTTGTCAGCAGTCCATAGGAGTCGATGCATAAATATTGTCCCCACAGCGAACACCTTTTCTTCGATTGTCCCGCTTCAACGAAATTTTACGATTTGCTTATTACTTTTTGCTTATATACTTATTGGTATGCAGTAATCGCAATCTTTCACATTTCTATGCATTTCAAAAGCCTGAAAACGCGTCAACGAAGTCTAAAACACGCGTAGGCACCACCAGAAACCGCCACTATACCGCCGCTGTTCAGCCATCATAGGAAGCAGCGGACAATTTTTGAATTTTGAGAATAAACGTTCCTTTGTTTTGGTAGCTAAGATCAGCGATAGTTTTTTCGATTTCACTACAATGAAATTTTTGCTTCAACGCAATTTTTTCCGCACCCCACCAGTTTCCGTTGTAGCGGGGTTTGACTGTAGTAACCAGCTTAGCGTAGATATTTTTAGTACAGTAGATTCTTACTCGGCGACGCAAGTATCACAGAAGGGCAGGGAAGGGAGTCTACTCTAGTTGGTGGCTAGAACATACAAGCACAAACCAGGCTGCTCAAACCGCAAGCACACCAAAGCATACAGATGACATGCAGTTTCCAACAGACAAGCAAGCATACAAAAGAAAAAAAGAAAAGAAAAAATTTGCTTTGCACATGACCTAAACTTCCAAAGCAATTTTGGCATGTAAATGTTTTCCCTCTACTTCCATCATCAAATGTTTGTGTTTTTGAACAATGATAATGCCTGTATCATTTAAATGCAGTAGCAGCAAAGATAGCACAATGAACCAAACTGCCAATTCATACTACAATGCATGGGCAACACTAATAAGCGACCTTGAATTGTGGAATGAAATAAAAAAAATGAACTATAAATTTTTTATTGGCTGGTTTATGCAATTTGTATGTCCCAAACCAACAATGATGCTGTTGCATTGTAGCTTGAGATAGTTTTTTATGGCCTGAAGTTCTTTACAATGCATCTTGAGCAACATGTGTGATTGTTTTATACTTTTTCACCAACATAATAATGGTAGCTGCCATGACTATATGGCAACCTTGAGCGCAAAATAAATCTGTAGCCAATGAGCCACCTCTACCAACAGCGGGAATCGGCATTACCAAACCACACTGCAGCCAGCGTACAGCATGAATTGTAGATTTGATCCACTCTGCACTACTTTACTCAGTTCTCATAGATGACGCCACACTTCCTACACTCTTCATTGCAGGAATGGTAAAAGAAGGCAGTACCCGAAGCCAACCTGGTCTAAAGCTTACTATAACAAAGCTGTTCACGAGAATGAGAAGTGTAGACTGCGCAAGATAGGTTTGTGATAAAGATGCCAAAGCCAAAAAATGGCTACGTAGGCCAGTTAGTATTGCATGTTCTTGTGAAACTTAAAGCCCAAATATACAGACGCAGGACAAACTAGGTGAACAAAGCACACACCACAAACGCTTGAGGTGTGTGCTTCCTTTCTTTTGTCCTGCAGCTGTCTATTGCCGTCACAGGCTTTCCATGAATAGGCTGAGGCACTTTGACACATTGTCAGATGAAACCTCTGCACACTCGAGTAGGACATTGTCAAGATCAAAACCCCTCTTTCATTCCTTGATGGCCAGTAAAACCTAGCCTTGGCTGCAAAAATGGGAACCACAGCAGCTCACATCCCATCAACGTGTTATGCAATGGGCCTCTTTTCCGAAGTCGTTGCTCACCCAGACTCGCAGACAGGACAGTGATCCCTGTGGTTCCCAATTTTACCAGTCAAGACTAGCCTCGATACTGGTTTGCCCAGTCAGTACCTAGTTAGGTGAAGTATTCCTCATCTGTGCATTCTCACAGTTGTGGGCTGCAATGTAGTTATAGAAGTTAATTATTGACTATAATGACCAAGTTCGTGTAATTTAAATATCACTTAAACAGGGGCAAAAAGACCCCAAGAGGGGATTGTTTAGGCAAGCACTCTCTCAAGATCACTAATGTGTCGCTCAGCTCAACATTATAGCACCCACATCTTTTCCTTAGAATCTGATTCTGCAACAAGTTTTCACCAGCCCGCCTGTATTATTATGGCCAGGTTAGTTATCACACAGGAGAAGTGTGCCATATATAGAACTGCTGTAGGGTGTAAAAGCAATAACAGTAGGTTACACTTGGCTAGCAGCTTCCTCGACACATCATCGGCATGTGGAAAGGTAGCTACTGGTACTTCACCAAACAAGAGATCTGACTTGGGCAATGACAGCAACTGGTAGTAAAGAGGATGAGAGAGGGATGAAGGTTTAGAATTACCATGTTCTTGTTCTTCACAAGGGGGTTCATCTGAAACAACAGAGCACACCAATTCATGCGCGTCCCTGTCAAAAGCAGGTACACAAAAGCAGACGGACAACACACACAGCTTCAATTGTCGACTGAAATGGGTCCTCTCAACACCTCCCACACAAAAGCCGTTTATGATTGTGAAACCATGTGGCATTAAGACCCCTCCATTCATGTAGCTTACATGATATATTATATTACCGAAGTATCACAGTTCCTCACATGCGTGGAGTTTACATTACACAGGAGCACCATTTTTTCTTCAGCTCCATGTGTTTGTCTTCTAATGTCACAATGATGCACAGCGTCTAAATTTCTACAATGCTTCTTTTACTGATGCACATGCCTGGCTCTCTTTGTCACAGCTAGAACTGAAGCAACACATGCCTGCATTATCCCTCTCCAAGCATGCTACGATGCTGCCATCTTAAAATGATTATGCATGGATTGGGTGAAGTGTCTCAGGTGCTACATAACTCAAGTAAGGCCAGGTTGTGAAGACTAGCTAAGCCAAAGTATGGGCAGGGTTGATCTTGCAAGAATATCAGCATTATGAGACTGTCTTGGCGAACATACAGTAACTTTAGAGACAATGCATACATAGACAGATATTACAAATTGGTTTGCAACATAAATACAGCTTACATGCAGGGCAAAAAAAGGCAAAACAAGAACAACGCTTACATACGATAACTCTACTGCTACAAAGTATACAAGGACATGAGGTAAACACACGCACTCTACTTTCAAAGCAGCGAAAGTGGCAACAGCCGTAGCAATGCAAGCACTACTCTACGAGCGCATTTTCGGTTGCTCGAGAAGCAAATTGTTTGCAGTAGTGAACATCTGTCTTTCAAAGGCTTGACAAACAAAACAAAAACATTACACATTACAGAGCACACAGCACATTCTAGAAATGCTAGCAAGCCCACACTGGCATAACTTCTAGGAAATAATACCTGCAGACTTCACAAGTCCATTTTGAAAGAGATTTGCGCCAAGATGCTCTGTTAAATTAACTGCTTGATATAAAATAACTCCAAGTAAGCAATTTTGTTCATTATGCCTGTACACATGCATGCCAAGAAACTAATTTCACAGGCTCTGCCTGTATACTTGGAGTGTGACAACTATGTCCGATCTATGGCAACATAAAACTAGAAACAAGTCCTATTGACACAGCAAATGCTCTGAATTCCGAGGCTAAAGGCGCGTTAAATCAAAGGTGCAAAATAACCGCAAGGAAAAGGCAAATATCAACAGAAATTATCCAGTAGAACGATGAGTGAGGAGGTTTCGGTGATTTCGGGAGTTCTTACTTTTGGCTGAAATGCAGCAAGATGGGCTGGTGCCACGAATGGAGTTCCCGTGGCCATGCTTGGATTGAGGAGTGGAGAGAGACCAGCATAACCGGTCAACCCCAACTGGAATCATTAAAAGAGAGTGAGCAAGACGGGCTAATCAGTGCTGTACCTTTCCCAGTAGAATTCTATGTACTCAAGATATTATCACGAAGTTTATTCTTTTGATGTGGATCAATTAGCCCATTGTCGGCTTTCCTGTTAACCAGTCAGGTCAACCAATCATGAAAGGAGGCTCAGGAAAAAACACATGGCCAGAGCAAATGAGAGATGCTTATTAAGTTGGTTATTGTGGTGTCGAGGACTTCACGGGCAGCAGGGGGATACCAATCATGCCTCCTGGAAGACGGATTTGAGGCACCAGTTTCTCAAAAGAGGTGCAGATTCATATGTTGCCACTGCGACTAGATACTATATGGCTTTCTGGAGCCTTCCCATCACCTGCTGAGTGATGTATTGGTCCATGGTTTGTTGTACAGGCGCCACAATATGAAGTTAACTCTGCGTGGAAGCTTTATTGAACTCACTCCACCTCATAATCTGAAGCCCATAAAAAAAGTGCCTGATGTTAACTGTGCAAGAACAAGACTTTTAAGAACTCACTCCATCTCATAATCTGATGCACATAAGAAAAGTGCTTGATGTTAACTGCGCAAGAACAAGGCTTTTAAGTGGCCCTTGCATGTCATTGAATCTACAGAGCCAACACTTTTCCCACACATCCTAAATTAAAATGCATAATTATGAACGTTGATGTGTCCACGTTTTGGGCTGCCAGCATCGCCATAAACCTTGCAGTTGCTATCGTCGACAAAATGGCCTTGGACAGCTACAATATTGGAAATGCACCACTTGTGTAGCTTTAAACCAAAAACGGGTTTGTATTGAACCCACATATATTGAACTATTGTGTATGTCGGATGGCTGCAAAATCCCTGTGATTAAAATTTCGATACATATAATATTTTATATACCAGACTGCTTTTATAGAGAGCTTTCGTTGTGCCCTACCCATTTGATATATCTGAACTTGACTGCATACATTTCAACGCTAGGCTGACAAAGTGTTGTAGGTGCTTGAATGTACAGTGAAATAGTACACTTACCGCGGCACTTCTTGAATAAAATGGAGAGTCCAGCTTGGGATGGAACTTGTCATACTGAAAAACAAGTAAAGAAAATAAAAATGAGAGAAACACCTTCAGCAGGGAAACTTTGCCTAACACGAAATGACATAAGTACCCCAATCAATAATCCAATCATGCACTGATGACCTGTGCTGTGAAAAGTGTGAATAGGGAACTTTGCTTTAATTTCCATGTGATGTATGATGAGGCATTGCAGTCCAAAGTATTTTTTTCTATCCTATTCACCTTGTTTTGTAGTATGCCATGTAACGATATTCATTTAGATTCCCTTAATATTTCTGTAACATTGTTTTTCTAGTTCGCATTTGTGTATGTGCGTGTACACATTGCTTTTGTTTTCCGATTATCATACACATTTTAACATTCTATTGCATTACCCCCTTATGCAATGCCTCTAAGAGCCAGTAAGGTGCTTTTAAATATATGAATAAATACCCCCCCCCCCCTTTTTTTTTGTTGCAATACAGTAGCACCAGTTCTCAATTTTGTGGCTTTATCTTCATTTATACACTTTAAAATAAGAATAAAAAAGAAACTGCCCTGCCCACTGTGCCTGTGTACTTAAAGGATTCATCCTACATCTTGTAAAACCAAGGCGTCATCATCATCAGCCTGACTCCTCTCGCCACTGGGCCGAGGCCTGTTGAGTGTTTCAGCAACCAACAAAGCCTCGCGGTTACTGCGGCTGCGTTATCCCCGCAAACTTCATGACTAATCTGCTCATGTGACTTTCTGCCTCCCCCTCGTGTGCTTGCCTTCTTTTGAAATCCCGTGTGTTACTTTTCATGGCCAACTGTTATCTTGCCTACGGGCTGCCCATGCCCATTTCTTCTTCTCGGCTTCTACCTAATGTCTGCAGCGTATACCCGTTAGTTTGTACCTACAGAGGGTACTTCATTATTGTTGCGAACTGACCAGGTGAGGTGATGGCTGCGGCACTAGGGACCCTGCGAGAGCAGGGGGCAGGAATGGGCTGTGTGCTGGGTGCAAAGGATGATGCTGCTGCTGGGCAGGCTGCGTTGGGTGATGGTGAAGTTCGGTGCGCATGTAGGGTGGTGGCGGTATCGCTATCGACCGGTCTTGAGACGCCAAGAACCGTGTGTCCAGTTCTCGTCGCAACAGGTCTTGGTCTGCGTTGAGCAGAGAGCCAGGCGGCAGCAGTTAGAGAACATTGTGAGAGCACTAGGCCAGGCCTCTTACGCTGGCCTATCAAGTCAAGGTTACAGCTTATAGAAACAACAGGGGGGGACACAGCATGACCAGTCGCCTGAATATAGAGTGCCGTATTAAAAAAAAAGATCACCGTAAGTAATAACCGATGCATGAAATAACAAGCAGTAAATTGGTAAACCAGATGGGCTCGGCCGGAAGAAGTGCCTTGTGAAAGTCCTGCCGCGAAGTTTTGATTCTGCTGTCTCTATATTTTAATTCGTTCTCTTTTCCTGCGCATTCCTCCACCAGGACAACAGCAATTCATGGACACTTTTTGTCAAAACTGTCAGAAAATTATTCCTATGGTAATGGAACCCTTGTATTCACATTCTAGTGAAATCTTTCAGCAGCTGAGCAAGCTACTCAGACAGAAAAAAAAGGGAAAAAAAAGGTTATTTACCTAATTTTGTAGTGTTTCTTTCTACGTGCCAATGTATAAAATCCTCAATGCAGCTAAGGTAGCCTTTTTCCTTCCGACTCACCCAGTTCACAACGGCAACCTCTAATTGTGCTTCCGCCCCAACCCCTTTCCACTGTTGTCCCTTTGGATTGGAGCAGAGGGTACCAGGCATGGATACACAATTGCTAAGGAAATCAGCCGCAGGCTTGCAAAAAGCAAATACACTTGTGGAATCATCTCCAGCACCCACCCTCCGTTTTCGAATTTCTGAACACAGTCCAATATAATAAATGGTCAAATATATCCAAGACAATATGAGAAGTTCAGGTTGGTGTCACACAAGTAGTCTTTTTTTTTTTTTTTTGCCATTGGAGTATATATAACCTAAGTGTTGGCTCTGTGTGAGGGCGCAAACAATTACTTTGTTAAGGTTGTGTGGGCAGTCCATTACGTACAACATGAGGATCTTGAGAGGCACATGAGCCCCTTATTTTTAGAGCATATCGCATTCAATATGAAGTGCGCAATGCTCATGAAGCAATACCGACTTATCGACTTAAGTGCATGACACTTTATTGCCTGATTTTGAGAGGATTCACTGCTCTGTGAAACCAGGCACGTGGAGCCCTGCTAATCTTTGTAAGCAAAACCTACGTGGTCTCGAAGTTATAGACACTTTTTCATGTTACTTCTTATTTTTGTCCCCATCTCTGTTACCACACGTAATTTTCACACCTCTTTCTTTCCCTCACGTTCCCTCTTCCCAAAGAAGCATGCAGCCGGGGCGCCCCTAGGTGGCAGTTGTCAGCCTGTTCAATGCCTATTTCCTCTCCACCTTCGTGCGTATCCAAACCAAATAATAATTATGAAGACTCTATATCACTGCTTGGCAAGGCCCTATAACAAGCAGGGTGGCTTACTTGGCAGCAGAGATGCTTCTGGAACAAAGGCAGTGGGCCCCGCGGGTAAGCCCAGTGCAGTGGACGCAAGGCTGGGTGCCCCTGGGGGTGCGATAGGGGTAGCAAACATTCCTGGGTGAGGAGGAAACCCCAGGCCTGCCGCTGCTGCTGCCGCTGCAGCCGCTGAGGAGGCTGCTGCCGCAGAGGAGGAGGGAGAGGGCCCACTGCTGCTCACTGGCAGCGGGGGCGTTGGCCGGTGTGTCGCCACAGGTGGCGTCCCCATTGACGGAGGGCCGTTGCTGCTCACTGACACACCAGGGTAAGAGCCAGGACCAGACCTGCAATCGGGCATAGAAACCAAGCACCCACTATGCCATGTGCTCTTCTGTCTCGGAGCAGGGAAGACATCTTCAATGAAACTGTGTGGAGAGATACACATTCGAAATCTGTAGTGCAATGCGTGGATGATCCCGTTGACAGTGAGCACTGTCGATAGTAAAACGCAGGGAATGTTGGGAATGCAGGAAACATTGATGGCATTCCGTCAGAAATTTTTTAGGTGTATAATTATAAACAGGTGCTATCCACAGGCACTGCTAAATTAAAGCTTTGCCACAATACCACTACTAGAAGACGTGACCCATAGTATTTCAATATAAAGCTCATTAGCAGAGTTCACTAGTCAACCAACCTTGCTCTGTCGCTTGACTTGCGAGCCATGTAATTTCAAATAAAAAACTAAGTAAAGCATTCTAACACAACGCATTTGAAATTGCATAGAAATGCCATGTAATACCAAATTTTAAAAATACATGAGTAATTTAAGAACTTACCTTTTGATGATCTTATAATCTTGCCAAAATGCTAAGCAGCATTGCAGTTCAGAATCTTGCAGTCACACTTTAATAAGCCACCAGGACAAACAAACATTTAGCCTGAGGCAGACAAGACGCTTGTAGCAAGAGTGTTTCTATGACACCACATGACGTGCAACGGAACCACATGGGTCGAAACCAAAGGACCACCTAAAAAGAAACTGAACAATGCTCACCCAGCCCAGGGCTTGGAGAAGACCAGGCTGGTGAGGCTGTTGGAAGAGGCACCTGAGTAGACGCCGGGCGGGAGGCTTGACCTTTCTGGCACAGAGCCCAGCGGCGGTGCCAGGGAGCAGGGCGTGTTGTTCCGCGAACCTCCTCGGCCACTGCCACTGCTACTACTGCTGCTGCCTCCACTCTCCTTGCCTTGCAGCGATTGACTTAGCTGGCTGAGGCTGGACAGGCTGCTGTTGGAATGCGAGCTTCCCAGCTCGACGTGGGCGTCGGGGCACGCGTTGGCGTTACCGCTAGTCCCGGCCGGGCAGCCGTGGCCGGCGGCGGCGTGGGCAGCGCGGCCAGGAACGAACTCTGCGGCGAACCGCGGCTGCTGTGCGGCGAGCCGCGGCTATGTGGCGGCGGCTGCACGAGCGAGAAGGGAAACAGAGGTCCGGGTGCGGGCGCGGCGGCTGCGGGCGTCACGGGCTTGGACACGCTGCCGCTGCTGCCTTCGCGGCTGCCGGCGGTGCCCGGGTTGTGGACCAGGTGGCTCGCCAGTAGCGGCGACGGCGACGAGCCGTGGCCGGCGAACGCGCTGCCGTTGCGCAGGGGAGGCGGCGCTGCCCCGCCGCCCACCGAGGCCGCCGCCGCCGTGGCGGCGTGCGCCGTCGCGCCAACGGGTGGCGTCGTGGCGGGCGTCGTCGGCGTCCGGCTGTTGCCGAAGAGGTGGTGCTCGCGCGGCGCCACTAGCGAGGCGCTGACGCCGCCAGCGCTCGATGACGAGTGATTTCCATTGAGCGCTTCAGGGGGCAGGTAGGGCGGCTGCGACAGGAGCTCGGACACCAGGCTGGGCGCCGGCGGGGGCGATGGCTGGGCCGACGGTAACCGGCAGGGCGCCGGGCTGCTCGGCGCCAATCGGGGTCGCTGCTGGATGACGGCGCTTACGCTACAGCTGGAAGTTGCGGCGGTGGTAGTGGTGGTGGTTGTTGTTGTCGTGGTCGTGCTGCTCGAGATGAGCCCCACCAGGGATGGCGCGCAAGACGTGACGCTACTACTGGTCGTCGGGGCGCTGACCACGGGCGACGGTGCACTCGTCACGGCTGGCGTCACGGGCGCCGCGGCGGCAGTGGCGGGCTGCTGGATGGGCTGCTGCTGTGGTGAGGCCGGCTGCTGCTGCCACGATGGCCCATTGTGCAGCAACGCTGCTGCCACAGGCGACGGCGGTGCTCGCCGTGCCAGAGGGGGACTAGAGCGGGCGCTGGGCGGCGCGGCTGCAGCGTTGGTCGTGGTGGCGGTCGTCGGCGTGCAGCTGGCAGTGGTCACGGCAGGTGCCGCCGCGCCGGCGGGAGTAGTGGTCGTCGTCGCCGCACTGGACGCCGGGCTGGCCGCCGCCTGGCAGAGGCTCGGCGCCTGTGGGGGCCCTGCACGCAAAGAACGGCACCGTCAGGGTCGGCGACGCGATAGTAGGAAAAGAAAGGAAGGCAGGGAACCACGCTGCTTCTGCACTTGAAATCGCAACGCGTTTCCAGTATACTCAAAGGATTCTTCCAGCCAGGGAGCTATTACCAACTTTTGGCTGATATCTTCCTTTCGACACCACTCAGCAACCAAAAGATTCTCCAAAAATGAAAATTGAAAAGGTGCAGCATATCAGTATATCACCCCCCCCCCCCCCCTCGAGAAGTAAAGGAGGGAACGAGAGAATAATCAGAAGAGCGAATGGCTAAGAGAATGGGGGAAGTGAGATTCGCAGCTTTCCCGCAGTGTTCTGACACGAAGAAAATAATGGGCTAAACGCTTCTATGCAATTGTATATACGTTCCGTAACGTGCGTGAGCCGTTCCCATCCCCCCTTACGTTCTCTCAACTGCGACCACGCACGCTGTGTTCCGAACCAATGTTGCGCAAGCGGCCCAAGCAAATAAATGACTGCAGGCTTCCCAACACGGGATATTAGGTAGCCCGAGCGGCGCTAAACCGTAATTGCGGAGACCACTTAACGCCCATTCACACCGGCGGCCGGATCCGGAGACGAGGGCAGCAGCCCCCAGCTGGGCTGGACGCCGAAACGAGCGACAACGCTTGCTCGTGCTTAGCGTCAACGACACGGACGGGCGCAAACAATGCGGTTACCACGTTAGGAGGCAGATACATTCGCTAAGAGCGCCTACGTCACGCGAGACTCGTTATGACCTCGTGTTAAGACACTGTAGCTGCTGCAACGTACGCGCGTAAGGCTACAATGGAAGAGTCGGCGTGTATACGTGGAGCGACGTTAAAGAGGGAGGCCATCGCGTAGGCCAGCGATTACGCGCTTGGGATCACGCGTAATCACTAAAGAACCTTCGCGAGCCGGAACAAGGAACTCGCCGGACGACGCCTCCGGAGGACCTGAAGGGGTGGCGGCAGCCTCGTAACACGGTGAGGTGCGCCACGAATGGCCGGCCTCGCATCTTTCGCCGCCGCTGGTAATTTGCGGCGGCACCCAAGAACACTGCATGCACGTAATACACGGCAGTGGCAACGGCTGGTCCTTGGGCTTCTTCTTTGCCCTCCGCGTAAAATGAGACCGCGGAGCCCACTCCCTCACGCAAAAACTTGCGCTATGCGCAGCGTCATCGCATTCGGCCGGCACACGTAGGTCAGCGAGGTGCAAGATTACATGTTGGCGGCGCCTGCCCCTTTTCTCCGCCGAAAGTGATTAGGGACGCTTCGCTAGAGGCCTGACCCTGTGTTTTTTTTTCTTTCCTCCTTCACTCCCGACTACAAAAAAAAAAAAAAAAAAAGAGTACACGCAGGTTCGCCAAAGGTTCCATCCATTCGTACGCGACTTCCTCGTCGGTAATGCTAATCTATCGACATGGTCGGTAGATTAAGGTGCGGAGTATATATGCATACGCAGAAGCGCGCCACTGTACTGTAATTTGTACGCTCAACGACGCCGTGAGCAACTATAACCTTGGCCCAGCGCGCTGCTCTCGGAAGGCGAATATTAAAAAGGCGCTTAAGGGAAACGCGATTGACGATAAGGCCGCGGGTTACAGCGTTGCCACCGATGAAACTACACGGGAGAGGCACGCATAGTGGAGCATCAGCGCGCACAGATTTTCCTATCTTGACAACTTACTGAACTCTTCAGACAGCAACGACTAAAGATTTCGCGATGCTTGGACATATGGCAAAGAAACGGATAGAAGTCAACGATAGCCGTCTAACAAGTGCCCTTCCGCGCTATGATGCGAAAACTGAAGAGAGCGAAAGCTTGAAGTTCGGTATAAGGAACACGAATATGACGAACTATCGGATATAACGAAGTAAATGAAAAACAGTCTCGCTATTGATAAAATGTTACGAATATATGTCAATAAAGAATTATCGGTTTCAACAAAGTTATTTTGGCATCGTATGCGGCTTCTGTGTAATGACTTTTGAGGTCCGAAGTCCTACGCGCTGTGATCAGGCACAATTTAAATGGCAGCGACAGTCGCTAAAACTTTTGTTGCTCCACGATTTCGTAGTGAACTAGATTGTCGTGTGCCCTGCCGCGGTGGTGTAGTGGCTAAGGTATTCGGCTGCTGACCCGCACGTCACGGGATCGAATCCCGACCGCATTTTCGATGGAGGCGAAAATGCTGTAGGTCAGTGTGCTCAGATTTGGGTGCACGTTAGAAAAACCCAGATAGTCGAAATTTCCGGAGCCCTTCACTACAGCGCCTCTCATAATCATTATGGTGGCTTTGGTACGTTAAACCCCACATATCAATCATCAAACTAGCTATTGGCGTGTAGCGTACACCATCGCTTGAAGCAACACGCTACGATTACGGCAACGTCTTTGCGCTGTGCGCCAAAACATACAAACACGCTAGTTTCACGTATACGCTTTCTGCTTCATTCTCCGCCCCCCCCCCCCTTTTTTTTTTCTTTTTGTGGCGGCTGTCAAAACGGGAGATGGCCAAAGTAAACACACGAAAAAAGAAAGAGCCCACCCCAGGTGGCAGCAAAAGAAAACACGAGTGTTCGCACGTCTCGGCAACTATTCTCAGCATAATAACGCGGGGCAGCGGACCAGAATGGGGCAACCTCAGCAACACGCCCACTCGGCATCGACGCAGAGAGGGGGGCGGAAGCATCGTGCTTCGTTCGACGTGCGGTTATCATCACACAGACACACGCACGCTGGGCCTTTGCCGCACCGTCTGCGGCGAACTCAGCGGTGCGGTGGTGGGAGAGACGACGGCGGGGGGTGGGAAGACTTAATCGCCCGGCCGAAGCCGCCAAAACAGCCGCCCCTCCGACACGCACGTACTACGGCCGCCCTCCCAGCCCGCATGCAATGTCCACTTTCCTTTCGCGTCGGCCGCTAATAACCGTTTTCAGAGACGCTTCGAACTCGCTCGCGCCAAAGCCCAGAGGTGGGGGAGCACGCTAAACCCAACGAACCGTTCATCCATCAAGCGTGACTCGCTGCCCTGCCCCCGGCCTCGCCGCTTTAGCACCCTGCGGACACGCTGCCAGCCCCGAACCGGCGGGGGCCATTAAAAAGGCCGGTGCGTGACCGCACGGTCGGCGGCGCACTCTCCGACGCACGAATGCGCCCACGCACACGACGCCGTTGATGCGGCGTGCTTATTATAGCTTCTTTCGCGTGCATACCGACTCGACCCGGCAACCCGTAATCGCGCTCGCGAAGGTGTGTTGTACGGTGTGGTGGCGGTAGTGGAAGCGCACACGCGCCCGCAACGCATGCCACACACACGCACGCGGTTTTCTTTTTTTTTTTTCTCACCGCCGGACTTGGTGGAGCAGCGCCGATCCGATCCCGTCGACGAGAGGATCACCTCCGTACACCTTCAATACATCAGCAAACAACGCACGCATGCAAACGAAACTCTATCGAATTGATTGATTGATACGTGAAGTTTAACGTCCCAAAACTACCACATGAATATGAGAGACGCCATAGTGAAGGACTCTGCAAATTCTGAGCACACGCGCCTACAGCATTTTCGCCTCCATCGGAAATGCAGCCGCCGCGACCGGGATTCGATCCCGCGACCGGCGGGTCAGCAGCCGAGCACCTTAGTCAATAGACCACCAAGGCGGGGGGGGGGGGCGACGACTCTATCGAATAGCAAAACGAAATGAATATCAAACATTGTTCGCGTCATGCATGCGTAACAAAAAAGTGTGCGTCGAAATATGCGTACTTAACCCTTAAATGCCTGAATATGAAACTGTCGGAAAAAAAGAAAAACTGAAATGTTTGCATTTTCCAGCTTTAAATGGCCACATTTAAATGACTCCGCAGTTAGATTACTTTATATGCAACTTTCAATCATACTTTTATTTATGTCGTGAATTCTACATATGACACAGAAGCGAGAACCTTGCAACAACAACAACAAAAAAAAACGTACCACAGAACTACCTAAACATGTGTGCCACCTTGGGTGCGCAACACCAAATAAACAACTTGACTGAATGAAACTTGCGTCACTCTGGCGAGAAAGAACGAAAAGAGAGCAGTTGCACGCGCTTCGCACAATTGGTTCTATAGCATAAAATACCTTAGACAAGACGGCGCTAGATTTTTTTTTATTTCTAAAGCTACGTTCCCCGTGAGTACTTGACAGCCGGCATTAAATGCGGGTGACTTGCTAGCTCGAAAGTTTTTTTTTTTAGATGCGGAAGCATCTTATACTCGCGCCTTGTAGTGCGCCGTCCGCGCCGTCCGCACCGCTTCTCGAACATTCGACAGCTGACGCGCGCGCATGCGCCGTCGCGCCGTCGCCCACTCTTCCACCATCTGTGCATCCGTTCCTCCTCTACACACCGCGCGCGCTTCACTCCTCCACCATCTGTGCACCCTTCCTCCTCTACACACCGCGTTCGACATCTACAATTCTCCTGATTCTCCAGTGGACGCGCATGTGGCGTCGCGCTTCGAGAACATTCAACAGCTGACAGTGCATGCGCCGTCGAGCTGTATATATACTCAAGGTCGGCGCTCGCTCGCTCAGTTGCCGCTCGTCGGTTGGTTTGTACGGCGCGTCGACGTCCAAGGTCGCGGTGAAATGAATTCCAACGAATCCACAAACACAATGATGGACGTCCCTTCGACCAGTGCCGCCCTTTCGCATACGTGTGTATGTGTTCACTCATTTAACACCCCCTCCTACAACCACGTTAACCAATTTAGCCATCGACCCAAGTAAGTCGCAATTTAACACCCCATTTCACAACCACGTTAACCAATTTAGCCATCGACCCAAGTAAGTCGCACTTTAACACCCCGTTAACCAATTATATGCTCCGCATCCTCCTCAGTGTTCCCCCGAGGGAAGCTGCGGGCAATTTTTTTTTTTTGTATGTCGCGAATTCCCGACACTCGGCAGTACAGGGTTAAGCGAATTCGTTG